CAATTGCTCCACTGATCACCGGGTCCCAGCTATGAATCGCTGGCTGGGACCCGGTGACTGTAATGTAAGGGAGCCAATGATAGTGCAATTAGGCGGGCACATGTGCCCCCTACCCAGAAATGCAGAATCACATATATATGTGATTCTGCATAGAGTGGACTCTCCGTAGCAGTAAAGCTACATGTGCCGGTTTGCAACTGGCTTTTAAAGAACCAAAGTTCAAGACATATATTTAAAACCAATTAAAATTCATATGTATCCAGCACGGCTAGTATTATACATGATTCTCATAGTGAACTAGTGCTTATCAATACCCACTCTTTCTCCTATGTCCACAGTGAATATTATAATTCTTTTGGAGGAGATCGCAATCACTTGAATTAACTCCCAATGTGTACCCTTAACTCCAATAATGGTGTTCCCTGCAGTCTTTTTTCAGTACAGCATAGGAAACAATTAAGTCTCTAACAAATTTTCACATATGAAATGGGCAATTGTTCTGTATCCATTTCACAAGTAAATATAAGAAAGGATTGGTTAATATTCAGTTGTCTCACAATGGCCTTCAAAATGTCCTCTGATCCAGTCAAAGGGACAAAGATGTCATGAATGTATCTGTGTCATATTGAAATATGGCACGGGTACATGGAGAGATCATTTCTACATAAAATTTTTCTTTTCTACATCCCCCCAGGTGCAGTTTAGCGTAAGATGGTGCATAAGTAGTTCCCATCACTAAACCCTTTACCTGAAGGTAGTGGGAACCAAAACATATTATGCATCAGCAAGAATTTCAACAAATTCAATTAAAAAAAAGCAATGCTTATGTTCATAAAAAATCCCAGACATCCAGAAATGTGTTCAGCCAAATCATACAGGCTAGAGAATATAACACCTTCACATCTGGTCCTACCAGTGTATATTTAAGGGCAGTTCTAAACCTGTCAACTGTGATATTTGTGATATCTTTAATGGGGAGTATCCTTGACATGTGAAAACAGTTCTTCTATGTAGAAATTTAAAAATAGATCGATATAAGCACTAGGTTCAGTAAGTGAGCCATACCTGGACACTGTTCGTCTCCCAAGAAGTTTTGTGAATTTTCATGTATCTTGGGTATTGCATAAAATACTGGCGTCCAGGGATTAGGAAGAAAATGGGTGTGATACAAGAAGTGCCATCATCCCTATAACAATGCAATGAAAACACCCTCTTTTTGGTGGGATTTTTAGAGGCACAAGTGATACCAGTAGTATTGTAAAAGATAAACTTTTTTTTTTTTTAGTAAACCATATTTTATTTATACAAAGTTAAAATACATATCATTACAAAATATGGCAGTAACATCAAATATGATTTTACAGTAGATACATTTATTTTATTTATTTCATGTACTTATACAGCGCTGTCAATTTACGCAGCGCTTTACACATATATATTGAACCTTCACATCAGTCCCTAACCCTCAAAGGGTGTACAATCTAAGGTCCCTAATGTACATTCATACATACACATATTAGGGCCAATTTAGACAGGAGCCAATTCACCTACCAGCACGTCTTTGGAGTGTAGGAGGAAACCGGAGCACCCGGAGGAAACCCACACAAGCACAGGGAGAACATGCAAACTCCATGCAGAAGGTGCAATGGTCGGGAATCAAACCCATGACCCATTTACTGCAAGGCAGACGTGCTAACCACTAAGCCACTGTGCCGCCCATAAAGGAGGATGAATCATGCATGTCAACGATTGCTGAATTTTCTTATACTAGTCGTTATTTTATTATAACCATATCCTCATTTTGTTTAATTGTCATGATTACCACAATCTCACCCTTGTCAGATGGTATACAATTATGTCTCCTCTGCCTTCCGATATGCAGAGTGCCAATCTCTGTGCATGTGTTAAATTATCCAGTATACCCATAATTTCATTGCTTACTCTGTTTACAAAACTTAAAAGATTTCTATTCTGGAACAAGGGCGGGGCCTGGTTGACTTTGGTTTATTTTTTTATTTTATTTTTTTTTAGTTTTAACCTATTAATCCGATACATATCCTTCTTTCTAAAGATTACACATATCTTTAAGTGCTCTGTAGTCCTTACCAGTATACTGATTCAAATCTTATAAAGTACCTAAAGTCCTTTAAAGAACCTGCTTAAGTAAATAAGATCATGTTCTTTATGGTCTTGAATTTGTCCATTTTTGCTTCTGGGCAACATGTGAGGATTTCTCAATAGCATCATGTCCATCTTCAGTAAATTCAATGTTTCCCTGAGTAAATATTTATCCATATTCATTCTTTTACCTTGGGTCATTTAAAATCCTTGTTTGCTCCCTATCTCTTTCCCTCCAGGACCTTTCTGCTTCTGTATATTATAGGGTCCCTTAAAAAAAAAAAAATGATAAAGAGAAGTCCTCTTGTACTTGTGTACAGTGTGTTGAATATTCTGCAGTGTTCTTCGAACTCGTTCCTCCCTATATTTCTATTTCTTCACCTATAATTCCAAGCACATTTGTGTCCCCTATTCATCTCCCATGTGCTTTAACTTTGCTCTGTTTAGTCATTTTCTATTGATATCTGTGTTATGTCATGCCCCTTCCACTGTGCCCAAGTCCTCAATCGAGGATACACATAACCCTGTGCACACAAGCCGAATATCGGCCATTTCAATAGAAACCAGCTGACATTCGGCCCGTGTGTGTGAACTATCTAGACCAGAGGAGGACCGACAACTCCTGGGGCCCCCGGGCAATAGGGGATCATGGGGCCACTGTGTCCTTGCCCAAACTCAAAAAAAGCCTATGAAAAAGGTACCAGGGGCATCTCATGGGGCCCCCTACTGACCCTGGGCCCTCGGGCAGTGCCCGAGTTTTCAAATGGTCAGTCCCGCCCCTGATCCAGACATGAGTTATCCCTACCTTTTCTTTGTGAATCTCCTTGCTTTTCACTCTTTCTCCAATTAATCCCCCTACCCTCCCATTTTTATGACTTTCCATTCACATAGGCAAGTCTACTCCTTTTCTAATTTGGTCTTCTTTTTATTGATACGTTGATGGTTAAATTTCTCAATATACGCTGATAAATCTTTGCTGGCCTGCCGAAAGATTTACGTGTGTTTGTGCACTCCCAAAGATTTATTAATTCATTAGATTCTCAAGATATTTTTCCAAAACGATCTTATTCTTCAACGATTTCGATTTATTTTCATAACTTCTCTGTATTAAAAAAAAACATTTTTCTAGGAAGTGAGTAAAACTGTGGGCTTAAAACGGCTGTAATTGTAGTGACATCACTGGCAGATATACAACATCCAAGAAAATAATTTAAATGGACAGTACATTCAGTAGATAGTGGAACGTCAGTGTATTCAAGTATATTCAAGTGGATTGTGGTTTCCTCTGATGGAATTGAGATATTCACGGTGGACATAGGAGAATAGTAGATATTGGTATGGTCTAGTCCACCGTGAGAACCATAATCAACCGTGCTGGATTCTATGAATTTTATTTGGTTTTAAATGTATGTCTCAATGTTTAACTGATGTATTTTGATGCTTCTTTGTGTAACAATTGAACCCTGAATTAAGCATATCAGTATTGTATGGCACACACTAAAGCCAATGCTATGTTACAACATTCAACTGATCTGCTTGCTTTGGCCCTTTCAGTTACAATGCTGACATGTGTTACATACAAAACCCATTGTGCGCAATTTGAATACATGCAAGCTTTTCAACTAAATCGCCTACATCTAATATTGCTATGAACAATTTGAGCAATTTAAGTGCCTAGTACACACGATCAGAAAATTTGATGAAAAATACCACTTTCGAAGTGATTGTCCGAAAATCTGATTGTTAGTACACAGCTTTCAAGAGCCAATCATAACAATCCATGCAAAATTATCCAAAGGGACAAACGCGAACATTTTTCTCATACGATACCTGAACAAACAATTTTCATTTAATCAGTACAGTATTCATCAGAAAAAGATTTTATAGTATATAAAACAGCGCAAATCAACCTCCTCGCCATATACAATATCAAAGATATGTTAAAGCAATCAAAAAATTCAATCATAAAAAAAAATATATATATCAAAAAATAATACAAACAAATGAATAAATAAATATAATAGAGAAAATAAATATTTTTTAGAATAATAAATCAATTCATTCATTAGTGTCCAAAAAAATTAATATTGTGTGCAAAAACAAATTCTTTCTTCCCAAAACACAAAAAAAATCTCCAAAAGAAATGTGCTTCCACCTTCACCAGTGTGAAATCAACATCAACCGCACTCACCAGATATTAGTGAGTAATGTGCCTTTTAGGATTTTAGGGATCCTACACCCGCTCTATATCTTCCAAAGCTCCTTTCACCTTGTTTGGCTTGATGTACTCCTTCCATATACTCCAAGTAAAAGCTCCATACCGGTGCAGAAGAGAAAAAAAACCATAGTGTAATACTGCTAGTAACATGTATAGTATTAAATAACACCAGCCACTCACATGTTTAAAGAGAGTTAAAAGCATTGATTTATTGCCTCCATTGGCACACATAAATCCATAAGCCAACAATCCAATCCAGGGACCTCACTGACTCCTGGTTTGCAGAGGATAACAGACACAGCTCAAACAATGAAGATGGTCGCCTGGAACAATGCGTTCCACTCACCAGAAGTGACGCAGGGCGTAAGGATGGCAAACCGGAAGTGCGTCGACACTTCCGGTTTGCCATCCTTACGCCCTGTGGGAGGGGCGAAATGTATCAACGCACTTTCGGTTTGCCATCCTTATGCCCTGCGTCACTTCCAGTGAGTGGAACGCACGCTGCGGGGTGCGTTCCAGGCGGCCATCTTCATTGTTTGAGCTGTGTCTGTCAAGCCATACAAGGTGAAAGGAGCTTTGGAAGATATAGAGCGGGTGTAGGATCCCTAAAATATTAAAAGGCGCATTACTCACTAATATCTGGTGAGTGCGGTTGATGTTGATTTCACACTGGTGAAGGTGGAAGCACATTTCTTTTGGAAAAGATTTTTTTGTGTTTTGAGAAGAAAGAATTTGTTTTTGTACACAATATTAATTTTTTTTTGGACACTAATTAATTTATTATAAAAAATATTTTTTTTCTCTATTATATTTATTCATTTGTTTGTATTTTTTTTATAGATATATATATTTTTTATGATTGAATTTTTTGATTGCTTTAACATATCTTTGATATTGTATATGGTGAGGAGGTTGATTTGCGCTGTTTTATATACTATAATATCAATTGCTGTGATACACTGGTGCGCAGCAGCATATTTTTACCTCTATTGCTTATTGGCAGGTATTCCTGTGTGCTGGGGTGTGAGAGGTATTTATCAGAAAAAGATTGACCAAGATCGTACATGCTTGGTAATGAAAGAATACATTACAATACAATACATTATATCACTTCGGAAGTTGTACTCTGTTGTACGTATGAGAGTTTTAGTAACCTCTTCATATTCGATCTGAGACTAGCATACAAAAAAAAATTATAATTTGTCTGATATTATCATCGTGTGTACGAGGCTTAGGCAGGCCATACTTGGTTTGAATTCTGAACAAATTTTCTTTAGAAAATCAGAAATGTCATGCATCTTGTAATCTGATGGTATCCCCATTGATTTCAAAATTTGGCAAACCAAGCCTTCAATTTCCCCTCGTTGGTACAGAAAAGAATTTTCATGGCTGGAAATCTTCTTTTCTTTCCAGGTCACTGCTCATGCTCATTTCTTCTCTGATTATATTTCTCACACGATTACCCCCGTCATTGATTAGAAATTCATTCATTGTTCAAATAATTTCCAACATGACCAATCAGTCAGATTCAATGGCTGCACAAAAATCGGCCAATGGTGCGAAATTTGAATGGAAATTCTTAGTTACGATTTTCAAAAGACAATTTGTTCGGAATTCAATCCATGTATGGACTGCATTAAGCAGACGTTTCATATCTTGATTGCACAAGCAGATTGCTGGCCAGTAACCCTTCAAATCCAGCAATTAGCTTCCCTGCATAGATTCCCCCAGGAAAGCTCTAATTTCAGTCCATTCAAGGTTCTTGTTTTAACTGAAGCCTTTATGAAGAAGGGTTTTTTTTTACTGACCCCTGAAATTCATTGGCCATTTTTTAGTGTAAACCAATAAATTCATTTGGACTCCTTTATCCTATGGTCTCCCTCCATTGGTGCATGTTTTAATTTTTTTTCTAGAAAGACGGGACCAGACAGAGTGCCAATACACCACAGACTAACTGAAAGAGACATAACCAGTAAAAGATAATACAAACATACAGAAGCAGATATATAAAGCAAATTCAGGTCATAATCAAAAGAGAATGTTCAAGGCAGAAAGGCTTAGCACACATGTCGGAACAGATGGAAGCTGAAGTGCTGGAGATGTTACAGAATCACTTGAAGAGCATTTTGAGGTAAGTACATAGATGTCACTGCAAACACAGAATAGATAAGATGCAGATATAGAAAGACTGACAGAACAGCCCTGACAGGCTTAACCACTTCAAGTCCGGACACTTTCACCCCCTTCCTGTCCAGGCCAATTTTCAGCTTTCAGCGCTATCACACTTTGAATGACAATTGCGCGGTCATGCAACACTGTACCCATACGCATTTTTTAGCATTTTTTTAAGAGAGATAAAACTTTATTTTGGTGGTATTTATTCACCACTGGGATTTTTTTTTTTGCTATATAAATTAAAAAGTCCAAAAATTTTTGAAAAAAAGTTTTCTTATAAAATTTTGCAAATAAATAATATTTCATCATAAATCTCGGCCAAAATGTATTCAGTTATCTTTTTAGTAAAACAGTCTGCACTCTGTGTGCAGCACATCCCTGAACTCTGCATTCTATATGTAACACCCCCCCCCCCCCCCCCCAAAAAAGAAAACTCTGTATATAATGCACTCCTGGTATTTATTGCCCCCTTAAGACCCTCCCACTGTTAATTATATTTGACGTCACCCACTATTTGATGCGGTTTGAAGGGTGTATGGGGGGGTTTGGGGGAGTCGTGGTTGAGTTCCTGCACCTATTTTCTGAGAAAAAAAAAGCCCTGGTTGTAATGATATGTACGAATTTACTAACGCGTGTCAAAGTTGCAAAATTGTGCTTAGGCATTTTTATTTTTGTCTTACCCATAGCCATGAAGGGGTTAAATGTTAGCATAAACCTAGGTTATTCTAAAACTATGGTAACAATCGTGCTGGTATGAACAGCTGAGTATGGCTTTTTGTACTTGAAATAAATGTAACGATCTCTTAATAAATACACCATTGCATTCATTGGTATTGTTTAAATATATCTGCCTGGATTAGGATCTAAGTTCGCAAAAGTCCAGGAACGTGCGCCGTCCTTTGTAAAGCGTACTTATTCACTATTTTCTGAAATGCTTCTTTCACCTCATTATTTCTCAAACTATATATCAGAGGATTTAACACAGGATTGGCAACACCATAAACCACAGAGATATATTTCTGATTTGAAGAAAAACTTGTGGTTTTCCCCATGTACATGGTAATACACGTCCCATAGAAAAGTGAGACAACAGTCAGGTGAGAAGCACAGGTAGAAAAAACTTTGTATCTTCCGCCAGCAGACCGGATCTTTAATATGGAGGAAATGATAAGGATGTAAGACACCACAATGAACACTAGAGGAACTACAAGGGTTATCAAACCTACAAAGAGTATAGCTACTTGATAAAAGGCGACGTTTCCACAGGCCAGATAAAGAACCGCCAGTATCTCACAAGTAAAATGGTCCAGTTTGTTTTCTGCACAGAACACCAGAGGCCGTGAAATTGGTGGGATTATAGACATGAGCAAACTCCCAGACCACACAAATAAAGTCATGTTTCTACACATCTTCCAGTTCATTATGATTTTATAATACAAGGGTAAGCATATTGCCACATAACGATCGTACGCCATCACCGCCAAGATCAAACACTGGGTGCCCCACCCAAGGAATGAGCCAATGTTCATTTGCACCACGCAAGCTTGGACAGATATTGTCCTTGGCCTGGAAAGAGCATCTATCAGCACTTTTGGAAGACACAAAGATGAGAAGCACACATCGATGATTGAGAGATGACATAGAAAATAGTACATAGGCAGGTGAAGTTTGGGACTGATTAGAACAGTACCAATTAAAAATATATTTGCAAAAAGGGTAAAACCATATATTGGCAACAATGTCACAAAAAGTAATACGCAGAGCTGCATGTTTTGAGAAAACCCAACTAAGATAAACTCTTTTAGGAAGGTTTGGTTACTGGGTTCCATATTTTAGTTACATGTTAATATATCCTATGGAATCAAGCTATCCATAAATTCAGCAACCTGTTAAAAAAAAAAAAAAAAATGGATTACGTTCCCCAACATATTTTATCTTGGTCAAATGAAATAGGAATTGAAAGGAAAACTGCACCCAATAGGAGAAGTTCCGCTTTAAGGCTTTGTCCCCGGCTTCTCGTAAACGACTGACACCATTGGGGAGCGGGTGCCCAAATTTGACAGGTACCCTCTCCCACTTCCGGTGTGATCACCTAAGGCGATTGGAAGGGGATGCTGTCCTTCCCCGCAGTCTACTGGGACACGTGACAGTCCCAGAAGACTATGGGACCATTAGCAAAGGGCAGCGCTACTCACGCACGTGCAGTGCTCACACTGAAGATGCCGGCACTAGGGAGAAAAACCAGCCATGGTGAGGACACCACTGGACCGAAGGACAGGTAAGTGTCCGTATTTTAAAAATCAGCAGCTACAGTTTTTGTAGCTGCTGACTTTTATTTATTTTTTTTAATTCAACTTTAATAGAACTTTAAAATGGTATTAAACTCCTTTTGTATACTTTTTCCTATAGGTAAGCTTGTAATATAGGTAGGTAAAATGAGTATCTCCTAAATGTGAACCGCTTAGGAGATATACTCTCCTTTTGACAGTCGGGGCATGCGCTCTGAAGGAACGGCATAGCCGTGCCCAGGGGAGTATTTACCACAAGGCAATTGCCTAGGGCAGCATTTTTCAGGGGGGCAGCACTGCCACCTGGAAGAAGGGACACTTGAACATGGGGACCAGACGGGAGTCGAGATAGGCTGAGCTCTCGTTCCCGGGGATGTCCGGAGCTGTAAAGGTGAGTGTCTTTCTCTCCAGGTGGGGGGGGCAAGTGTGTTGTTGGTCAATGTCAGGCGGGGGAGCGTCCGATTTTTGTGTTGCCTAGGGCAGCACAAAACCTAAATACACCACGGCCATGCCACTCCTAAAGAGCCCTGTGCCCTGGCCCGAGACTCCTGTGCGCATGCACGGGAGTGGCGTCATCGTGGCTCAGCCAGTTTGACAGCCGGAGCTTGTGGACCCGGAAGATCGGATGAAGATGGAAGCCTCTGCAGAGGTGACAGTGCACCACTGGAGGGCTTTGTTTTATAAGTCCTTCATAATGTGCTAGTTTGCTAGGATCTTCTCTACCAAGGGCCAGTTTGCCCACCCAGCATCACAGTCACTGGTTTCAGTGTCAGGGCTGTTGAAGTCAAGGTCTTGGGAGATAGGGGTCTCATAGATTTGGCAATCCCCATGCCTTTACAAACTGGGAAATCTACCTCTCACAAGGCATGTGCTGGTATGCGATGCATACTAGCACATTATGACATTACCTTGCAGGGGAAAACATTGCGGTTTAAAGTGTTACTAAACCCACAACAGTAAAACCAATCTGTCAATGCAGTAAAGCATGCTTGTTATACTTACTGTGGAACGTAAGGGGTTAATACTCTGCATTGTATAAAAAGGGCGTTTGATCCTGTCTTCTCTGATCCTCCTCTTTTTTACTGTCCCCAATTCATCTGCCATAGTTAGAGCAGCAGTGGCAAGTCTGCACATGCTCTGTTTGGTGTGGAGCGCTATAGAGGGTGCATTTGATTGGCACATGGCCAATCGGCGCTGTCCAGAAAGAAGGTCAGGGGTCATAAGTCTCATAGGGCAGTCAGAGGAGAATGAAAACTCCTCCTACAAGGTTAACCACTGCTGCGCCAGACACTGATAGAAGTCACAAGACTGATATATACTGCTGATGAGAAAAGGTATTTAGCCATTTATATTTACTAAAATAATTGCATTTCCATGTTCTGTGTACTGTGGGAGACCAGATGTAGTGAATGCAGGGTCCGGGGAGACCGGATATAATGAATACAGGGTCCAGGGAGACCAGATATAGTGAATGCAGGGTCCGGGGAGACCCAATATAGTGAATGCAGGGTTCTGGGAGACCAGATATACTGAATGCAGGGTCTGGGGAAGCCAAGATATAGTGAATGCAGGGTCCGGGGAGACCAGATATAATGAATGCAGGGTCCGGGAGAGCGGATATAGTGAATGTAGGGTCCGGGGAGATCAGATATAGTGAATGCAGGGTCCGGGGAGACCGGATATAGTGAATGCAGGGAGTCCAGGGAGAGCGGATATAGTGAAAGCAGTGTTGGGGAGACCAGATATAGTGAATGCAGGGTCCGGGAGAGCGGATATAGTGAATTCAGGGTCCATGGACAGCAGATATAGAGAATGCAGGGTCCTGGGAGACCGGATATAGTGAATGCGGGGTCCAAGGAGAGACGGATATAGTGAATGCGGGGTCCTGGGAAAGCAGATATAGTGAATGCAGGGTCCGGGGAGACTGGATATAGTGAATGCAGGGTCCGGGGAGACCGGATATAGTGAATGCAGGGTCCGGGGAGACCGGATATAGTGAATGCAGGGTCCGGGGAGAGCGGATATAGTGAATGCGGGGTACGGGGAGAGCGGATATAGTGAATGCGGGGTCCGAGGAGACCGGGATATAGTGAACGCGGGGTCCGGGGAGAGCGGATATAGTGAACGCGGGGTCCGGGGAGACCGGATATAGTGAACGCGGGGTCCGGGGAGACCGGATATAGTGAACGCGGGGTCCGGGGAGACCGGATATAGTGAACGCAGGGTCCGAGGAGACCGGATATAGTGAACGCAGGGTCCGGGGAGACCGGATATAGTGAACGCAGGGTCCGGGGAGACCGGATATAGTGAACGCAGGGTCCGGGGAGACCGGATATAGTGAACGCAGGAGCCGGGGAGACCGGATATAGTGAACGCAGGAGCCGGGGAGACCGGATATAGTGAACGCAGGGTCCGAGGAGACCGGATATAGTGAATGCAGGGTCCGAGGAGACCGGATATAGTGAATGCAGGGTCCGGGGAGACCGGATGTAGGGAATGCAGGGTCCAGGGAGAGCGGATATAGTGAATGCAGGGTCCGGGGAGACCGGATATAGTGAATGCAGGGTCCGGGGAGACCGGATATATAGTGAATGCAGGGTCCGGGGAGACCGGATATAGTGAACGCAGGGTCCGGGGAGACCGGATATAGTGAACGCAGGGTCCGGGGAGACCGGATATAGTGAACGCAGGGTCCGGGGTTTAGGAACACTTTAAACTTTTTATTTTAAAAACTGACATATAGGATGTAGAATTTATTAATACTCTATATTTACTATCAGTCTTAAAACACTGCTCAGATCTGCCTTTTCTCTGCCATATTGAAAGAGTAACTTCACTTTTGAGAAAAAAATAGTCCCCTCTGGGTAATCACGGATCGGGTACATGTGCAGGGATTTAAACAAACTTTGTTGCAGATTCCTGCCTGTTTCTGCTCTAAAGAAAAAGCTGTTTGGTTATGTCAATGTGCAGTTTGAATCTGTATGAGGTGACCTTTTCAATATTAATCAGCTGATGCACTTGCAGTGTTCTATTAAAAAAAAGATCCCTTTAGAAGTGAATAACCCTTAGGGAGTATCTTACCAAAAATGACCAAAAATGTTTGTTGCAGGAGATGCCTAAAATCTGACTTGCATCTTAGTGCAAATGTCTAGGAAAATCAGTGAGCCAATCACACAAGCGGGAAATGACATTGTTGGGGGTGTATCATACACCAGCTGTGTAGAGAATACCTCCATGTTGCAGTATTGCATTGAATTTTACAGAAAATTATAGTCCTGCAAATTAACCGCTTGCCCGCCGCACTATATGTACATGATTTGCATTTATGGGTGGGGCGATCGTATGCGCTGCCCTACCTGCACCGCTATTGGCTGCTGGGGATGCCAATCACCGTGTCCCGGCTGGGACTCAGTGATTGTCGAAAAAGCTGACAGAAAATAATAGAGTAAAACAGAACAAAATAGAATAGAAAATAAAGGAATAGAAAAGAATAGATTCCATTAGAATAGAACAGAAAAGATTAGAATAAAAAAATCAAAGAATAGAATAGAAAAGAATAGAAAAATTAAAATAGAAAATCAAAGACCAGAATAGAAGAGAACAGAATCAATTAGAATAGAAAATCAAATAAAATAGAAAATAATAGAGTAGAACAGCGCAAAATAAAACAGAAAATAAAGGAATAGAATAGAATCAATTAGAATAGAATATAGTAGAACAGAAAATCAAAGAATAGAATAGAATAGAAAATAACAGAATCAATTAAAATAGAATAGAAAAGATTAGAATAGAAAATAAAATAATAGAAGAGAAAAGAACAGAATCAATTAGAACAGAACAGAAAAGAATAGAATAGAAAATCAAAGAATAAAATAGAAAATAATAGAGTAAAACACCACAAAATAGAACAGAAAATAAAGAAATAGAATAGAATCAATTAGAACAGAATAGAAACTAAAAGAATAGAATAGAAAAAAATAGAAAAGATTAGAATAGAGAATCAAAGATTAGAATAGAGCAGAACAGTACAGTAAACAAATAGAATATAATAAAATAAAAGAATATAACTGCCTTCTGAAATTAAAATTTTGAATACAATGTATTTGAACAGAATATATCAGAATAGAATATAAAAATAATAAAAAAAAGAATAGAATAGATTAGAAAATACTAAAATACTTTAAAAAAAAAATTGTGAGCTGTGCTATGGTGACGTAAGTAGTGATAAAAAAAAAAAAAACTGTGAAAATTTTGCTGAAACAGAAATTTCCAATATGGTCACGGAACTCTTCCTATAGCCCATATACCAGCAAAAACACATATGGATTGGAACGTTAGAATTATTATTGAATCCGTTAGAATTCTTTTCAAATCCGTTTGAAATTTAGAAATCGGTCAAATTTGAATAAATAAAATGAATTCCAAAAAATAGATTAAATGAATTTAACTAATCGAACGAAACAAAACAATTTTTTCATTTTGCACAGGTCTAGTCATCCAATCATGTGCAAGCACAAATAATGTTTTGGGTTTCCCTTTCA